ACCAGTGCCCCTCACTGCCCCTCCCCCAGGGGCCCGAACCTCAGCCAGGATGGCCCCGCCTGCAGGCGTACCTTCCACCTGCAGTGAGGGCTGCCAGCTTCTCCTCCCCGGGCTGGGCTGGGGACGGGTCGTCCAGGATCCTCTGGAACTGCAGCTCCAGCTCCCGGGGCTGCAGCAGGCGGGAGCCGTCATAGAGCCACAGCTTGAAGAAGCGGCCCTTGTGGTAGACGGCCACGTGCCTGCTTTCCGCGAGGTGCTGCAGCACGTCTGTGACGGAGGCCAGCATGTGGGCTGAAGCAAGAGGGCGGAGGGCCGGGGGCACCTCCCTTCCTGACGCCGCCCTGGCCTGGGCACCCCAGCCGCAGGGTCACTGGGTGACTCCCGAGGCCCCTGCTCCGCCAGGCCTCCACCTGGGCTGCCTTTCCAGGGCAGAGTTGCCCGCAGGGAGCCTCCGTACCTCTCGGTTATGCCAACGACAGTCCCAGGAGGCATTTCATAAAGGAGGAAACCAGAACTCGAGGAAAGGACACAGACTACCTATGTCAGAAACGCAGGCTGCTGCTCTGTCCCTGCCCGCCCCCTGGCAAGCCCGCCCTCCTCCAGGAGGGGCAGCCACACTCCCTCCTTCGGGGGCTCTTTACTCAGGGGACAGCAGTCCCTACAGAGGGGACTCAGGGTCCCAGCACCAGCGCCGTGCCTGTCAACAGCAGGTGTCTAGTGTTGGTCAGCAGCTGGCTATCAGACTGTTTGCACCCCGAGACAGCGAGGACACTAAGTGATGAACAGGAAGCAGGCACCTGGCCACGGTGGGCCCATAGCTGGGAGCGAGGGGCCTCTGTCCCGTCAGTCCCACCCGGGCGCTGCAGCTGTACCTGTCTCCTTGCCCGGGATTCGAGTGGTGTTGAACATCCTCTCCATCTGGTAGGAGCACATGGGCACGATGCCCAGCGCCATCACCTGGGAGGGAGGCATGGCAGGGCTAGGACGGGGCCTCCTCTCCCTTCAGCCCTCCACCCAGCGCCACTCACAGGTTTGATGTCCTCCCGGTCCAGTTTACGGCGGTAAGTGATCATGGCATGCACAGCGTTTCCCAAGCGGGCGGCCTGCACATCTGTGTTCCTGACGAGCACAAAGTCCTACAAGACAGAGCCAAGGCCGCAGGGTAGCCGTGACAGTTGCACGGTGCCACCTGGTCTCCCTGCTCGTGGCTGGAGGGGTGTTGTCCTTGCCTCCTGTCCATCCCACACTGTCAGGTGGGCTGCCAAAGATGAAATGCCCAACTGACCACATCCCTCCTGGGCCCCAGCTCTGATTTCAGCTGCTTTTCCATAATCTGTTTGGTCATGTTTTGTTAACTTTGCTTTGAGAAAGGGGTTCCCACCACTAGAAAAACTGATTAAAATCTCAGGGACAGACTAGTTGTGTGTATTTCTGGGAGGGCAGGCTTGGGGAGGAAGGGGATCCAGCCTGCAACTCGGGGTGCTCTCTGGACACTGGAGGAGCACCGTGCATGCTGTGCAGCCCATGGCCGGGGTGGGGCAGTGCCAGGCACGTGGCAGAGGGAGACTGGCACGTGGCAGAGGGAGACAGTGGTCTCCCAGGTGCTCAGAGGAGCTCTGCATCCACAGGGTAACACAGAGGAAGGCCTTCCTGAGGCAATTCCCCAGTGACGGCTTCAGGAAAGCTAAGGGCCCATGGCCAGGAGGCCTCTGAGGGAACCAAGGGAGAAAGTGGTGGCAAGGAAGCCCCAGGGCCCCTGAGAATGACCACGTCAGGCTGTGGGGCTGCTGGATTCTGCACCCTCAGTATGCCCATCACCCCTATGCTGCTTCCTGACCATATCCTCCCAGGACCTCCCCCACCCCCCCTTTCCTTGGGCCTCACTCCAAAGCACCCCCTCACCTCTGGAAACCACCACCAGGGCTCTGGGCTGTCCTCCAGGGCCCTTTGCCCAGAGACCCACAGCTGGGGATAGAGCTGACCACACAGTGCCACCTCTGCTGTACCTCTTACCATGACGTAGTAGTTGCTATTCACCATGATGGGTGTCCTGCCTCGAAGGTAGATGTACTCTTCCCACCAGTCACTCACCTGTGGGAGGGTGGGAGCTTAGGGCTGCAGTGAGGTGGCAGCCGGGACATGAAGTGGGGGAGGGGAAGCCTAGGGGGACTCACATAGTTAGTTGCCCACCACGACTTGAGTACCAGGTACTTCTGCAGCCTGGGGGCAGTCCTGTCCTGGAACTCCTTGGCCAGCGTCTCCATGCGGTGATACTGCTTGTCGTCCAACAAGGGCCGCACAGAATCCAGGTACTACCCAGCCGGGTTCCGGTCAGCATGGGAGCCAGACAGCAATGGCTGTCTCTGTCCCACCCTGTGCTGCCCCCAGTCCCCCCCCCCCTCAAATCCACTCTTTGAAGGGGAGGGTCCCTCACGTTTGGATGAGTCCTGACTCCAGCCTACCCTGCCCAACAGGATGCCTGACCCAGGCCCTCACCCGCTGAATTGTGGCCGGCACGCTGGGCACAGGAAGCTTGGGCAGGGACGTCTGGAAGCTGTACAGCATGGGCCGCCCACTGGACAGAAGGCGAACACACACCTGGGGGTGCAGAGCAGAAAAGTGTGGGGCTGGGAAGCAGGGATGAGAATGGAAGCAAACTAGGGAACACTGAGGGGTTGGGCCCCGAGTTCTCAGAACCAGGACACGCCCATGCGTCAGGCACCAGTGTCCCCTGCCTGTCCCCTCAAGCTCAGGACCCTCAGTGAGGCCCCGGGGCCTCAAACTGGAACCCTCCCCCAGCTTCTGCTCACAGCCCAGGCTTTGGTGAAGCGGCTGGTCTTGCCGTGCATCTCGAACATCCAGCCATGGTAGGAAAGCAGCAGCTTCAGGGTTTGGCGGAAGAAGAAGATGCCCGTCATCCAGACCCCCGTGGAGAAGACGGCCATGCTGACCAGTGCCCGTGTCTGGGGGGTTTGGTAAGGGCCGTATCTGTCAGAGAAGGGGAGAGGGCTGCAGGTATGCACTGGAGCGGCCTCAGGGGAACTCCGCCGACCCTGCACTCTCCACGGTGGTGAGCCATCTTCGCGGAGGTACCGAAGGAGAGCCACCTCCCTGGGGACCTTCACAACCAGGTGCACCACACACATGGACGGATGTGGGACTACAGGATGGCTGTCCCATGACCTCTAATGGCTATTGTCCTGTGTCTGCCCAGCTCAGGGACCCTGGCCTTGGAGCCCACCCGACCTCTCTCAAAGCCCCATTCCTCACCCCTGAGGGAGGTGTCTCTGGATGTAACAGACCAGCCCCTTGGAAATGTCCAAGTTACAGTAGGAAGAACCCACTGTTGTCATGACAACAACCAGCCAGCTTGTAGGGCTGCCAGGATACACACCCCTGAGGATGCCATTCTGTGGGGCAGAAACAGGGCAAGGGAGCGGGAGTCAGGTCCTGGCTTTCGCCTGGAAGGCTTTCTCCCTTGTTCCCCTGCTGTGTCCTTATTCCCCATCCTCCTCCTCAGTCCCACACCTGCAGCCCCCCCCCCCCCCCCCACTCAGTACCCACTGCCGCTTCTTGAACACCTGTCTGCCCTCCACCACCCCTCTGGTGTCTGCACCACTGGAGCCTATTCCCCGGCAGAACTGCCAGCCGAGGTGGAGGTGGAGCACCTGGACAACGGAGCAGCGGCTCACGACACCTGGCCTCCGCCTCTAGAAGGCTCTGTTCTGCTGCACCTGCCGCAGGAAGAGGCCGGGAGAACCACCTGCGCCCACCTTAATGCGAATCAGGCGTTTCTTCCAGGAGTTGATCCCAGACTGATAGATGTGTTTCAGGGCCTCCCTACTGAGCCGAAAGTCAACCCCATCTGGGGTCACGGTGAACTGGAAGGCCACAGCCTGGTGCGCTTCCGCCATCCTGGTGGTTGGCCCGCACCTGGGAGGGGGTTGCAGGGATGTTCCCGCGGGCTTGGGCCTACCCCGCCCCCATCGAGGCCCCACCTGCGGCCTGCCCCCGCCCCCTTCCCGTTAGCAGCGGCCCCCGCCAGCGCCCCCAGCCCACCGCCACCCAGACCCCAGCCTGGCTAATGGGCGGAACCCTTGCGCCTGCGTTCAGGGCAGGACCCGCCACAGTGGTGCAGGGCTCAGGTTGGAGGTGGGTTCGAGGCCTTGAAAATTTCAGGATCCCGGAGGGCAGCGAAGGGCAGCGCCGGGAAGTGCCCCAGTAATAAGCCTTGTTGTCCAGAGCGAGGCACGTTTGGGTGCCCCCAGCCCCGATCGCGTGGGGCCTCGCGTGCCCTTGCCCACACACGGTGCTCGCTCGGCGCGATCCTGTGTTGTTCCCCACTCCACTCACAGCACAGCTCGGGCTCACTCCTGTCGGCGTGTGGGGCCAGTCACTCTGGCCCGTGTCCCCACGTCCTTCAGGCTGGCCACCCCCGCCCCGCCCTCACCAGAAACCTGATACCAACTCCCAAATTTGGGCTGAGAAAACAGACGCGGTGGCCACCAGACTCCACTCCCCTCCGCAGTGGAAATGGGGGGGGGGCGGGGGACGGGGCAGGCTTCGGCGAGGTGAAGACTGCTCAAAGGTCTGGGAACCTGGGGTGGGGGCGGGGTAAAGGGTCTCACGTGAGGATGGTGGCATTAGAGCTAAAAATAGTCGAATGTAGGGGAAAGGTCATCTGTGTCAGCTGTGCAGCTTGTCCCCTGATCTCCAGAGCACAGGGTTGGGCAGCCCCACCCGGGGGCACTCTGCACCCTCATTGCTCCCCAGTTCCCTACGCAGTTCCTTGCGCATTTGTCACTTCCAAGCTGGATCCAGGAAAGGCAGAGAGGAGGGGCTTCCCATGGGCAGGATGGACCCTCAACTTTCAAGCCCACAGCACTGAAAGCCAAGCTTTTCAGGAGGGGAAACTGAGGCTCAGAGCAGTGGTTACTCTGTCAATCTGAGTGAGTCCTCGGCTGCTGCTTTCTGCTGGAATGAACAGGGCTAGGACAGGGTGTGAAAGAAGGTCCTTTATTGTTTCAGGGTGCACAGTCCACGGTCTCCCGCCCATGGGGACCTGCTCCAACTGGGCGAGAGGTCAGCCACCTCAACCTGCCACCCAGGGGGCTCAGCCCAGTCTGAAGGGCCTCCTGCTTTTGGCCCTTCCCTCCAAGGTCCCGCCCTGGAGACTGGGAACATCCAAGGAGCTGGGGGGTGAAGAGTCAGGATGGGGGGTGGAGGCTGGTCAGCTGCCCCTTCTGCTGGAAGTACAACTGGAACCGAGACTGGGCGTACTCCTGCAGAGGAGACCCCCCCACACTGGTGAGCAGCAGGGAGGAGCGCCCCGTGTGCCCGCAGCGTCCCAGGACCGCCCAAAGCTCCCGGAGGCCCAGAGGCTGCTCCCGCTCCCCCTCCCTCACCCACCTCACCACCTGGGTTACTCACCAGGTAACCGAACTCTATGGTGGACATGGATGCCTGCAGGGTGGACCAGAGACCCCAAAAGAAATGGGAGGCCAGAGCGTACCTGAGGGCGGGGAAGTGGGGGAATGGGGGCATATCTGGCCTTGCCCATGTCCCAGAACTCGAACTTGTCCCCCACTGCCCTAACCCACACCCTGTGCCCACTCCTCTGCCAGCCCTGACCCCTACTCAGCACTGGCACTGGTCTGCTTCTCCCCACCCCCCCGCCCAGCTCTACTCTGCTACCCGGTGAACCTCACCGATTAGCCTCTACCAGCAAATCTTCTTCCAGTTTCTTCTGGTCCTCTTGGGAGATAATCTCACCTTTCTTTACCTCTGCCAGATAATGGCGAATAAAATGGAGCTGGGACCAACAGGCCAGAGTCAGGAAACCGGAGAATGGAGCCCTTCTCAGTGAGCATCCTTCCCCACAGTTTGGTCCTGGCTCTGCCTTCCTCCCTGCTCACAGGCCTCCAGCCCCCATACCTGCTGTCCCCGGGTGGGGTAGTCTGCGGGTTGTGCTTTGTAGAAAGGCCACTCCTCGTGAGTGTAATCATAAATCCACTCACAAAAATGGTTCCCTATGTCAAAGCCCCTGGGGGAATAAGATGGACACTCAGTCCCCAAGTCCCCTGGATGGCTGGGAGGCAGAGATGGAGGCCTGGTCTGCTTCCCAGGGCAGGGACCATGGGCCTCACCTGTAGTTGTAGCTGCTGTACTCAAAGTCGACCAACATGATGCTGTCAGCATTTTCTGGCTCTGAGAGCAACAAGATGTTACCTGGGGGGATGCGGTGGGTATTGGTCAGCCAGGGCCCCCTGGTCCCTTCACCTTAGGTGGGAAGGCTCACATGACTTCTCCTACCTTCCTGGATGTCGTTGTGACAGAAGACCACTGGTGACGGGGTGGAGGCCAGCAACTTCCTGCAGGGGACAGGGGCATGTGTCTGAGCAGGAGTGACTAGAGGTGGGCCAGAGCCACCCTTGTGGGCCCTCAGCAAACCCTGGGGAGGCTGCTGTGGGTTCCCAGCTGCACCTCCTGTGCTCTTCCGCCCTCTACCCACATTGTCCTGCCTGCCCTCACCTGAGGTTGCCCATCTCCTCCTTGAGGCTGTACATCTCCAGCAAGTTCACCTGGGGGCAGCCGGTGGGGGGCAGGTCCAGGATCTGCTTTAGGTACCTGAGGCCCAAAGAACAGGATGTGCGTGCTCTGCACCCCATTCTCCCTCCACCCTGGGCCAGGCTGTCCCTACTGTTCTCTCACTGTAGGCCTGTCTGGCAGACGTCTGGAAGCTTGTTCTGTGAGAGATGGTGACCCCTGAGCCACTCGACCCACTGCCACAGCCCAGGGGTACAGAGCCCTGCAGAGGCTCCCGACTCACCTCTCCATGGTCCCAAACAGCCAGCGGGGCTCCTTAGTGAAGGGCATCTCCATGCCATGGAACCGGGCCATCTTCGTGGCGATGGCTGCTGACAACACGGGCTCTCGAAGGTCTCCCGTTTTCAGTGGCCGGCTCTGCACCCAGGAACCTCTCAGGGTGGTGAGTGGGCTGGGGCAGGAGTGGGGAGGGATGGGGTCGTGGGGAGAGGTCGGGGTCTCGGGTCAGGGAGAGAGGGCAGACACTGGGGATAGGAGGGCAGGGGCTGGGGAAGGAGGTGCCTCCTACTGGGATGTACTGTTCCAGGCGGCCCTCCGGAAAGACTCCGTAGAGCTGGGGCCCCAGGGACCGCTCTGCGAGGATGGCGAACATCACACTTTCCAGGACCAAGGAGTCCACGCCCTGAAGAAGGATGACAACAAGGGGCAGAAGTCGCGCACAAAGCAGCGAGGATGCACAGAGGCTCTGCGTCCTGCTCCCAGCACCGCTGGGGCTCCTTCTGTCGCCAGGAGGCTCCACAATGCAGGGTGCAGCATATAACGGGCACGCCCCGCGGCGCCTCGTCCTCGGCGGGGTTGTACCACCCGCCAGGCTTCGGTGGGAAGCCCTCACTGAGTCCTCACCTGCAGGATGGCCCCATACAGCCGCAGCAGCACCTCCCGGGGCTCCTCGCCAACGCTGGGCACATGGTCCGGCAGCGCGCAACGGAAGAGCAGGTTGCTGAGGCCCCCGCTGCAGAGTACACCGGGGTCTCAGTCGGCCGCAGGTTCCCCGCCCCGGCCGGTTCTTCCCGTCCCAGATTTCGGAGGGGATGACCCCTGACCTCCCACCTCACGGGGTCAACCCTCAGCTCCTCCGGCCGGACGCGGCGCCAGGCACCACCTAGGTATTCTCGGCACCACTGGTAGGCTCGGCGCTCGGCCTCACGCGACTGCGCCGAGCCGCGCCGCCGGTTCGGGATCCCTTCCGGGCACATAGACTGCCGCAAGCTGTCCTTGGCGAGGCGGCCGCCGACAGTCCCGCCTCCGACCAGAGCCGTGCCTTCGGCCGCCATGCCTGGGCTCGCCGGGGCCCAACGCCCAACGCGCTCAGCCCACTTCACGCGTGCTCGACTGCGCTCGGCTGTACTTCCGGCCCGCCTGCGCTACTCCGGTGGGACTCGGGTCTCTCCGGCTCTGTCCGGCTCTTTACGGTGCCACTGGGCCCCGTCCTAGGCCCTAGTCCGAAGCCCGTCCGGGAACCTAATCCTGGGCGTCCCCGCTGTGCCCCGCCCCCGCTGGCTCGCCCTGTGGGCGGGGCCGCTGGAAAGACAGGAAGCGGCGTGCGCCAATCAGAAGCTTTGTGAGCGTCAGGGCACCCTGCCATTGGCGGGTCGTGTTGGCCAGTCTTGTAGGGGAGGGTGAAGTGTCTCTGGAGCGCGCAGTCCAGTGCCCGGAGCGTAGCGGTGGGTTTGCTCTAGGGGCAGGTGTGGCGGGGAAGCCGAGCGCTCTCCGGGTGCCCAGAGGACCGGGCCATGCGGGCGGTGGCTCACAGGGGCAATCCGCAGGAAGAGAGCCATCGTGTGAGTGTGGCTGTCCCGAACGTGGGTCACACTTGGGGTGTGCGTGGTGCCTGGTAGGTGCCGTATAAAAACCGGATGTGAATGAAACCAACTCCAACGGCGCTAAGTGTCTTAAATTCCCAATCACTGCTGGGCCCCGTGTCAGAGGAAGGGCACCTCTGAGAGGAGGTTCTTGTACTGCCCGAAACCACGGCTCGCACCTGCAGCAGACACCTAGGTCTGCGTCCCGTCCCCTTGACCCCTTGGCCTCCCCTGTTGTCCCCAACTTCAGGGGCAGCCCCAGGGAGCCATGACAGGCCTGTTGGGCCGTGGGGTTTTGGTGCGGGGGTAGGGGGCGCGGTGAATAGATGGGCAGCTGATGAGTGGTTTGATTTGAATAATCAGAAAGAAATGCAGAGTTGGTGACCAGAAGGGGAAGATCAGTTGCTACCGTGGAAAACCACGATAAACCTCGCTCTTTGTGAATCCAAGCCAGTCCTGAGACCTGAAGCTCACTGGTTGAAAGAGAAGGGTCCTACGATATCACCATAAGTACATTAAAAAATATTCCCCTTTAGTTCTTCCCCAAAGGGACCTAGAGCCACTTCAAGTAACTACTTAAAGTGGTCTCCTTTGAAAAAGGACTATCCAGACCTTTCAGGGGCTGTTAGGTACAGATCTGAGCTGACGTGGTATGGGGTGCCTGAAGCATCAGGAGCCACTGGTTCTGGGACAAGATGAAAAATGGAATCTTGGTGCAAGCCCTGCGGGTGCTTCTCTGGCCCCAGTGCACTCTTGGGTGGGCAACTGTGCCTTGAGTGGGCATAGCTGCACAGACATCCCTGGCCTGTTCCTAAGAACGTGCTAACCATAGCACAGGGGCAGCCCTTGGAACTCCCCAGGGCACCCACCCCCTCCAGGACAGTGAATCAGAAGTGATGCTGCTTCCCGGGTGGAATTGCAGAGGTGGTGTCTCTCTGATAGACAAAGTGGTGGTCCCCAGTACACCTGCTTCCATTCACCTGGACAACCCCTGCAAAATTCGGAGGGATTCAAGTGAATGAAACAAGATCAGTGACAGCTGTGGAGACATTAATGAAGAAACAGTGGTTCATACAATGGAATGTAATGCAGCCTTTAAAAAGAACAAGGTAGATCTACAAACCCATAAAGAATAGCCAGGGTACATTACTATCTTGAGAGAATGAGTTGTGGACTAATATGTATATGGGACAATCCTGATTTTTTATTAAAAAATTAAATGTTCATATATATATGCATGCCTGTGTGTGTCTGTGTAAATGTATAGGTATAAAGAAGAATGTAGTTTCCAGCAGAGCATACACAGCGTCCATGAAAAAAAAAGAAGAAGAAGAAGAATGTAGTGGATAAAATCAGAGTACAATTCTTTTCAATTTTTATTTTCTTAGAAATAACTATATTTCCCACTTTTCAGTCTCATTGTTAGAGAAATAAAAACAATTCAGAGCACATGGCTAATTGAATATAATGCTTATTAGGTTATATATTCCTTGTACTTCTCATGTATGCTTTTAGTCTCTTACTCCATAGATTGTGTTTGGAATCACTGAGAGTATTTGGGAGTCTGGAACTCACACATTCATTGAGAAAGGGAGGGAAAATGAATGTTCCCGGGATAGCTGGGCAGATCACAACTTTGGGGACAATTAAGGCAGAGACAGAGGGGTTAATGTGTCACAATTCAAAGATGCATTCACTCATTCATTCATTAGGTTCAGCGATTTTTAACCGGTGTGCCACAAGAATTTTTAAAGCACGCAATACCTGACTATTTTAGTCAGGGGCGCTGATCTCTATTCCCTTAGATTGTCAAATAAAAAATGACAATAACCAATACAGCCATAGCCATCTGGTGTGAATGAACCAAAATTAAACCTACTTTTTGGTCATATCAGCAAAAATATATATGTTTTGGGTTTGCTATAAAATTTTAATAATTTGTGTGCCGTGAGATGAAAACGGTTGAAAATCATGCATTTAATTGGCAATTTTAAATTTAGTATATGTTGCACTTATTAGTATGGTGAAAATTATTTTCACTCTCAGCAGTAAAGAGTACATTTCCAGCCCTGGGTGGTGTAGCTCAGTGGACTGAGCTTGAGCTATGAACCAGAGGATTGCAGTTTGATTCCCAGTCAGGGCACATGCCTGGGTTGCAGGCCAGTTCCCAGCAGGGGACTCATGAGAGGCAACCATACATTGATGTTTCTCTCCCTCTCTCCTTCCCTTCCCCTCTAAAGATAAATAAATAAAATATTTTTTAAAAAAGAGTACATTTCCAAAAGCAGTTCACACTTATATGGGAAGGGTAGACAAACACATTCGTTGTCTTGCTTGTGGCTGTTTTAACTCTCCTGCTGCCTGTCACAGTTCAGTCCACTGAGACTTTGATCCTCCAGACGTCACATAATGTGACGACATGCTAACTGCAGAAGGAAGTGACCAGCGCTCTGCCCCTGGTAAGACAATGCTCATCAATGCATGTCAGATAAGCCCTTAGAAGTTCTGGAGTCTGCCCCAGCTGGTGTGGCTCAGTGGTTTGAGTGCCAGCTTGCAAACTGAAAGGTCTCTGGTTTGATTCCCATGCAGGGCACGTGCCTGGGTTGCAGTTGCAGGCCTGTGGTAGGCAACTGATCACACATCAATGTTTCTCTCCCTTCCCTTCTCCCCTCCTTTTCGTCTCTCTAAAAATAAATCAGTAAAATCTTTAAAAGAAGAAGTTCTGGAGTCTGTCAGTGGTGAAGTCTTCAGGGGTGCAGTGCTGTGGAGCAAACCAGGTCATCACCTCTAAGATAAGGACAAGTTACTGCACCTTGCATCTCTGTCATGAAGAAGGGGGCATGGCTCTTGATGGACGTCTGGATTTTGGAATCAACATTTACCACACTTGGCATGGGAATACTGTGTGACCCATTTATTGGATGACTTGGAAGACTGCCAGTTTTGAATGGGGCCCAGAGCAAAGGGCTGTGTTGAAGATGGAGATTGGAGGATGGGTTTCCCACCACTTGGCAGACCCAGTGGGTTACAGTCCGGCTTATTTGTGGTAGATAGGGGGCCTGAGTGGCAGCTCTGGAAGGACCCAACAGGATGCATATTGGGTTTGTGATGCATATTCCTAGGGGTCAGAAGCAAGACCACACCTGGTGCAGTGCAGAGCTACTCACCAGCTAAAAGCAGCTCCTGGTAGATTACTGGACCTGAGCAGAAACTAAGTGCTGGATTATGGGACATTCAATGACCATGCGATCGAATCTGCCTATTCTGAGCTGGATACTGACTGCCCACCAAGCCAATAGGTTAGGCAGGCTCAGCAGCAGTTCGCTGCACAATGAAAAACAGCCGGACCCAAGCTTGTCCAGAGGGCCATTTACAGGAAGGAATCCTAAGGTCTAGTTCATAGATGGGTTAGGTTGGTACATTGATATGAGTTGAAAATGAACCACTGCTGCGCTGAAGTCCCCTTCAGCGTGGGGCAGCTCTAGAAGACAGTAATGAGGGACATCCTCTGGGCAGAGCTTCAAGCAGTACACCTGGATGTCCACCTTGTAGGGCAGGAGCGTGGACAGAGTAGGGATGGGCTAAGGAAGGAATGCACATGGCAGATGGGTCATGACAGATGTCTTGCTGTTGGTCAGGGAACTGGGAAGAGCAAGAGGTAATACTGGAGATGAGGAGGTCTGGGGAAGAAGGACCTGTGGGGGTGCTCACGAGTGCCTGTGTCTTTGTGCCTCATGTTGATGCCCATTGCAGAGGGTCACTCAACAACAAAGCAGATAGACACACATCAGCCAGCTTCTGTCCTTGGCGCCCCTGTGCTTGTGCAGTGGGTCTGAGAATGGAGTTGCAGGGTGGAGGGGTGCCAGGTATGCCCCCCAAACAGGCTCCCTTATCAAGGCCAATGCAATGATCCCTGCTGCTGAATGCCTGGCCTGTTAGCAGCCAAGCTCAGTGCTGAGCTCATGACGTGGTACCATCTCCAGACAACCCAGTGACCAGTAGATCACAGCAGATCCTTTCCACCCAGGGATTGACACCTCTGGATGTGGGTTTGCCTCCCCTGTCCACAGTATCAGAGGAGCATCACACTGCAGGACCTTGGACAATGCATAATATACCAACATGGGATCGTGTGTGACATTACCTCATTTTATGGTGAAAGGGATGTGTGTGTGGGTTGCCACTGGATACAGTGCTTCTTTAACCTCCTGTGCTGTCTACAGACAGCCAGTCTGAGAGGAAGATGGAATGACCTCTTCAACACTTAACTAATGTTCCAGCTCTAGGACAGTGTCTGGCCCCTGCCACAGGGGCCAGGGAGCCCTGGAGTGACCAGAACCACACATAAGCCTGTGCCTGGGGCTGCACACATGCTGTCTCGGGTGGTCCTCATGGGGTCAGCATCAAGAGGAAGAAAGGAGTTCATAGGATTAAGTAACATGTTCATGTTCAGAAACTTGGTGGCCAGGTAACAATGGGCACCACAGCTTCTCAGGCCATAAGGCTGGTGACTTTCTCTCTGTGCTTTGGGGACACATGGAAGACTTCACAGATACAATAGGAGGTGGGCCCCCCACTTCAGGAACTTTACATTCCTGGGGTTGCATTGTCTGATAAAAGGATGGGAGGGGAGAGGAGGGTGAACCCGAGATGGGTTTAGGGGCAGAAGGCTTCAAGGCTGGTGCAGTCCCAGGTGGAGGTGAATCCTGAGGCCACTAGGGGAGGGGTCACCAGAGTCGAAAGAGCCAAAGGCTGTCCACTTGTCCAGAGTTAAGGGCCTGGCTGACTGGGGTGTTGGAGAGGTCATTTACATGAATGTTCAAGTCATGGGCTTGGTGGCGAGACTCAAAATCACAAGAAAATCTGGGAAGTTGGGGTCACACTCTGAATTCGGGGAAGAGATCTAGAGTTCTGTGGGCACAGTCAGGGAGTGGTTAATGTGTGTAGACGCCTCAGAAGCCGGAGTGTTCTCAGTGGTCCTAAACTTGGAAAGCCAGCACGATGACAAGGACTTAATGCTCCAGACCTGCTAGAGCCCATAAGCTCTCTCATTCATTCATTCATTCATTCATTCATTCAGACATTTGCTGAGCACCTGCTCTGTGCCATGGAGGTTCAAGGCAGGTGAGTCACGCCTCTGCCTTCACGCAGCTCAGTCATTGGGAGTGGGGGACGCGGTGCTCAATGCCATTCTTAGAGAAGCACTGTAATCAGATGGAACACAGACTGTGTTGTGAACACAACACAGGGTGTGATCTGCCCCGGCCGTTCTCTCAGGGCTGCCATGGCAGCCACCAGACAGTGAGCGGCGTTGCCCTTCCCAGCAGGCGAGGGCTTCTTCTGCCCCGGCGTTCAGGCGGTCTCCACTCTAGTACCTCACCCTGCCCTCAGAAATACCTTTTCACAGAAATGATTTGGACAAAGAAGTGTCAGGGCTCGGGAACTCCATTGAGGGGGAAGGGAAAATTTTCACAGTTCCACTTTTGTTCGATCCCCCATTTCCTGCTTTATCTAAATCTCCGAAAAGCCTGCCCACACTGCCTTTATCAGCCATCCTCCTGGCCCTGGTCGCCCTTCCCCTGCCCCCACACCGGCCGACCCGTCTGAGCCCGGCTGCTGAGCTGGACTGCAGACACCACTGGCCTCCCACGGCTCATGTTCTGAACTGTG